TGATTCTAACAATAAAATTGGGAGATTTGCACAGTTAGTGTCCTTTTAGCTCCTCCACTGAACTTTTACATAAATATGAATTATTTCTGAAATATGACCTAAAATGATTTAGTAGGAAAAAATCCAGAAGCTCAGATAAAACTATAGGTCGAGTTGCTTGCTGATTTGTGATCTCTTGCCTTTATGTAATCATGTACTTGGCATACCTTCTCATCTCTACCTGTTGAAATATATCTTTCCCTTCAGAGTTCAAGTCAGGAACCACTTCCGCATGAAGCCTCCCTGAATTCACCAGAGTAAACATATTTTCTTCTCAGATCTTGCTAGAGCATTTTGTATAGATATTTTCATTGTCCCTATCACACTTTACCTCTCTTTATATTTTTGTGTATATGCATATATATTGTCTTGACTTTAGTAGATCCTACAGCCCTTGAAAATAAGGACCGTATTGTTGTTTTTGTTTGTATTCATAGTTTTCAGAACTTTTCTTTTGCAATTTGAATTACACATAATTTTTTTAACATTTGTTTTGTTAAATTTTGAGTTTCAAATTTTCTTCCTCCCTTCCCCCGTACTCCTTCAGAGGGCAAGAAATTTGATATAAATTATACATGTGCAGTCATGCAAAACATGTTTCCATTTAGCCTTGTTGCAAAAGAAAACAGACCAAAAAACCAAGATAAATAGGGTTAAAGAAAAAGTGCTTCAGTCTGCATTCATATTCCCATCAGTTCTTTCTCCGGAGATGGATAACATTTTTCATCATAAGTCTTTTGGAATCGTATTGGATCTTTGAATTGTTAAGTCTTTCAGAGTTGATCATTGTGCAGTATTGCTGTTACAGTGTTCTCCTGGTTCTGCTCACTTTACTCTGCATCAGTTCATCTAAGTCTTTCCAAGTTTTTTCTGAAATTATCATGTTCATTTCTTATAGCACAGTAGTATTCATTACAATCATATTCCACAACTTGTTTAGCCATTCCTTAATTGATGGATATCCCTTCAATTTCCACGTTTTTGCCACCACAAAATGAGCTGCTATAAATAGATCCTTCTCCTGGTTCCCCCACCCCTTTTTTTTTTATCTCTTTGAGATACACATGTAGTAGAGAGATTGCTGGTAGAAAAAGCATGCAGTTTTATAGCCCTTTGGGCATAGTTCCAAATTGCTCTCCAGAATTGTTGAACCCAGTTCACAATTCCACCAGTAGTGTGTTAGTGTCCCAGTTTTCCCATATCCCCTCCAATATTTGTTATTTTGCTTTTTTTGTTATATTAGCCAATCTTAACAGGTGTGAGGTGGTAGCTCAGCATTGTTTTAATTTGCATTTCTCTAACCAGTACTTATTTAGAGCATTTTTTCATCACTATAGATAGCTTTGATTTCTTCTTCTGAAAATAGCCTGTTCATATCTGTTGATCATTTATTGATTGTGGAATGACTTCTGTTCTTATACATTTGACTTAGTTCTCTATATATTTGAGAAATGAGGCCTTTATCATAGACACTTGTAAAAAAATTTTCCCAGCTTTCTGCATTTCTTCTAATCTTGGTTGCATTGGTTTTGCTTATTCAAAACCATTTTAATTTAATATAATCAAAATTATCCATTTTACATCTCATAATGCTATTTCTTCTTTGGTCATAAACTCTTCCCTTATCCATAGGTGGTAAACAGGTGGTAAACTACTCCTAGCTCTCCTTATTTATATCATCACTCTTTATGTCTAAATTGTGTACCCATTTTGACATTATCTTGGTATACGATGTAAGACATTGGTCTCTATACCTGGTTTCTGCCGAACTGCTTTCCAATTTTCCCAGCAATTTTTGTCAGTGAGTTGAGTTCTTGTTCCAAAAGCCTTGGGTCTTTGAGTTTATCAAACTAGATTCCCATAGTCATTAACTACTGTATGTCGTGTACCTATTCTGTTCTACTGATCCGCCACTCTATTACTTAGCCAGTATCACATTGTTTTGATGATTACCACTGTATAACAGTTTGAGATCTGGTACTGGTAGGCTGCTTTCCTTCACATTTTTTTTTCATGAATGCCCCTGATATTCTTGATCTTTTGTTCTTCCAAATGAATTTTGTTGTTTTTTCTAAAATAAATTTTTTGTAGTTTGATTGGTATGGCACTGAATAAGTAAATTTTTTAGGTGGTGTTGCCATTTTTATTATATTGGCTTGGCCTACCCAAGAGCAATTAATATTTTTCCAGTTGTTTAGATCTGACTTTCTTTGTGTGAAAAGTGTTTTATAATTGTATTCATAGAATTCCTGGGTTTGTCTTGGCAGGTAGATTCCCAAGTGTTTTATATTATCTGCAGTTATTTTAAATGGAATCTTTCTTTCTTTCTTTTTATGTCTTCCTGCTGGACTTTGTTGGTGATATATAGAAATGCTAGTGATTTATATTGGGTTTATTACATATCCTGTAACTTTGCTGAAGTTGTTAATTATTTCAGCTAGTTTTTCAGTTGATTCTCTAGGATTCTTTAAGGATACCATCGTATTATTTGTAAAGAATGATAGTTTTGTTTCCTCATTGCCTCTTCTAATTCCTTCAATTTCTTCTTATTGTCTAATTGCCATAGCTAGCATTTATAGTACAATATTGAATTATAGTGTTGATAAGGACATCCTTATTCACCCTTTATCTTAGAAAGTTTTCTCCTGCATGCCTGTTACAAATAATGCTTGCTGATGGTTTTAGATAGATACTATTTGTCATTTCAAGGAAAACTCCACTGATTCCTGTGCTTTCTCACATTTTTAATAGGAATGAGTGTTGTATTTTATCAAAAGCTTTTCTGAATTCATTGAAATAATTATGATTTTTGTTGGTTGCATTATTGACTTATGGTCCATTATGCTTGTAGTTTTCCTAATATTGAACCAGCCCTGCATTTCTGATATAAATCCCACTTGATTATAGTTTATGATCTTTGTGATATATTGCTGTAATCTCCTAAAATTTTTGTATCAGTATTCGTTAGGGAAATTGGTCTATAGTTTTCTTTTTCTGTTTTTGTTCTTCCTGACTTAGGTATCAGTACTACATTCGTGTTGTAAAAGGAGTTTGGGTAGGACTCCGCCTGTTTTTGCAAATAGTTTATGTAGTATTGGAATGTGATTTAAATGTCTGGTGGAATTCACTTGTGAATCCATCTGGTCCTGGGGATTTTTTCTTAGGGTGTTCATTGATAAGTTGTTCAGTTTTTTTTTCTAAGGTAGGGTTATTTAAATACTCTGTCTTCTGTTAGTCTTAAAAATTTATATTTTTATAAATATTCATCCAGTTCACTTAGATTGTTAGATTTATTGGCATGTAATTGGACAAAATAGCTCTTATTAATTCCATTTTTAATACTGGTAATTTGATTTTCTTTTTTGAAATCCAGTTAACCAGTAGTTTGTCTATTTCATAGGTATTTTCATAAAACTAGTTCCTCATTTTATTTATTAGTTCAGTGGTTTTCTCAGTTAATGGTTTTATTAATCTCTCCTTTGATTTTCAGCATTTCCAACTTGGTGTTTCATTGGGGATTTTAAATTTGTTCTTTTTCTAGCATTTTTAGTTGCATGCCCAGTTCATTGATCTGCTTTTTCTTAGAGCGTTTTCTTGATGTCAGCATGTAGAGAGATACATTTTCCCTGCATTGGTTGCATCTCGAAAATTTTGGCATGTTCTCTCATTGTTGTCATTCTTTTTAATGAAATTCTTGTTTCTATAATTTGTTCTTTGACTCACTCAAAGTTTCCAATTAATTTTCAATCTTTGTTTCCATAGCTCTTTATTGAATATAATTTTTATTGCATTATGTTCTAAAAAGGATGCATTTATTATTTCTGCTTCTACTTTTGACTGTAAGGCTTTTATACATGTTAAATGTTTGTGAAAATGCCATTTACAGCTGAGAAAAAGATATCTTCCTTTCTATTTCCATTCATTTTCTCCAGAGGTCTATTATATCTGACTTTTCTAAAATTCTATTTGTGTTCTTAACTTATTGTTTGTTTATTTTGTGGTTAGATTTATCTAGTTCTGAGAGGGGAGTGTTGAAGTCCTCTAGTAGTATAGTTTTACTGTTTATTTCCTCCCATAACTCATATAACTTTTCCTTTAAGAATTTGGATGGTGTACCATTTGGTCCATATATGTTCAGTATTGATATTCATTGTCTGTTATAACTTTTTTGCAAAATATAGTTTCCTTGCTTATCTCTTTTAATTAGGTCTACTTCTGCTTTTGCTTTGTCTGAGATCAAGATTGCTACCACTGCTTTTTTTTTTTACCCCAGTTGAAGCATCATAGATTCTGGTCCACCCCCTTACTCTATATGTATCTCTATTTCAAGTGTGTTTCTTATAAACAATGTGTTGTTGGATTCTGGTTTTTAATCCATTCTGCTATCCACTTCCATTTTATGGGTGAGTTCATCCCATTCACGATCACAGTTATAATTACTGTGTATTTCCCTGCATTCTATTTTTCCCTGTTTATCCTTCTTTCTCTTTTTATCCTGTCCCTCCTCAAAAGTCTGTTTTGCTTCTGACCTCTGCCTTCTTTAATCTGCCTTCCCTTTTGTCATTCCCTGTCCCTCCTTTTATCCCTTTCCCTTCCTACTTCCCTATAAGGTAAGATACATTTCTATACCCAACTCTATATGTATGTCATTCCCTCTTTGAGCCAATTATGATGAGAATAAGGTTCAAGTGTTGCCTGTCACCACCGATCCTCCCCACCCCCAAGAACGGCAGCTTGAATACGGATGCTTAATGCGTACTTTCAAATTGAATTGAAAACTAGATAATAATAATTAACCTTGCTGGTTTTTACTTATCATTGCTAATCAGCTAGCAAGCTGACACCTCAACTTTATATTATATTGCCTACAGAAGACACTAACAGGTGACTTGGAAATTTCCCAAAGTATATATCACAATGAATTAATTCAGATCACTGTTGCTTTTTTCCTCCTTTTGAAGGTGCCCTTACGGAGTGTTATGATGAACTGGGAAACAGATATCAGCTTCCAGTCTATTGCTTGGCCCCACCAATCAACATGATAGAAGAAAAGAGTGACATAGAGACTCTGGATATTCCTGATCCAGCACCGAATTCTGGATATGAATGTCAACTCCGTTTACGTCTTTCCACAGGCAAAGATCTCAAACTTGTGGCTCGTAGTACAGACACAGTATACCACATGAAGAGGAGGTTGAATGCAGTGGAAGGGGTAGAACCAAGTAGTCAGCGCTGGTTCTTTTCAGGCAGGCCACTCACTGACAAAATGAAACTGGAAGAATTGAAGATCCCAAAGGACTATGTAGTACAGGTTATTGTGAGCCAGCCTTTGCAAAATCCAGCACCAGTTGAGAACTGAACTGGTCTTGTCGGCTGGTTTTCCCTTTTGGTTTTTCCTCCTTTATGGCATGAAATTTATTTTCACTGCCCTTATTTACCTGTGAGTTCTGAGGAATGACCAATGAAAAATTCCATCTGTGATGGAGATCTACATAAAAAATAAAACACAAAGAGCCAGCCTTTGAGACTCATATGACTGCCATTTCTAATGCAAGAGTCAACAAATGAAATAACCATTTATTAAAAAAAAAAAGAAACCTAACATAAATGGCTTTGTTTAAATGATTTGAACAATGAATAAAGCAGCTATCCATGAAGAACAGCACCTTTTGAATTCAGAATAAGTTTTTTTAAGCAAACCAAATTAAGCTATTTCAAAAAATTCCTACTGCATAATTTACCCCCAAATGTAGCTTTTTTTTGACGGCAACAGAAGTGCAGTATTTGTGATGTTTCTTTTCTGATTTTAACTGCTGTTATTCAGACTCATTCATCAAGGGGAAAAAGTGGGAAAAATATTCCTAGCATTGTGTTTCAGCATTGCTTTCCCTTTTTTCATGTGTTGAGGTTTTTATGTTCATACCAACCAATTTTGGTACCTTTTTTCAGTCTGGTGGTAGGCAGACTTATGCTGTTACTGACTCTGGAGCACTAGGCAATAACTTAGTAAATACAGTAAAATCTCTTATGTTATATTGCACTTGATTCACAGTTCTTTTGTCCTCCTGCCTGCCGCAGTGGTATCTGGAAATATCTCCTGAATTGTTGACCTCTATTTCCACCTTTATCCTCAGGAGGCCACTCCACTAATACCTTTGCTACTCCTGTCTGGGGGAGAAAAAAAAATCAGTAGTCATGGCAGCTCGTGCTTCAAATGCACAACTGCTTTGAAGTAAGTGTATGTGTTCTCCCCTACAGAACAACGTGAGGGGCATCTTTTTTGGGAAAGAGAATCAGAATAGGGCTACACCAGCCATTCTACTGCATACCCTGACCTAGACTCCGTTTCAGGGCTGTATGGACTGCATGGGAACAGTGAAACCGAATGTCCTCACAGGAGGATGGAATGATTCTACCTTTTCCCTCTGCCTTGCATGAAGAATGTAAGGACCGCCCATTTCACCTGTGCCTAGGAGGAGAATTGTGCCTGTTTTTCATCCTAGTCATCAGATAATAGCTCACATTTCTATAGTGCTTAACACTTTACAAAGCACTTTCCTTATTTTAACTACTCAGTGTGAAAGATTTCCTGACATTTAAACACCAGCACTAAAAACAGTTCACTGAGGCCTGGCTTCATACGCTAGACATAGCAAGCTTTTCTTCAGTACTTCCTAATTCCCTGTTCATTATTTCCAGTTATGCTGGATGGTAATTTTTCTCCATCGTACTTTCTTGGATAATGTATGTATAAGGAAATACCTGGGAAATGAGAGTGAGGGACCGAAAAAGCTTTTTGGTTCATTTGGTCTGTGAAGTGTGTCCTGGCCTCAGTTCAAGCTGCCAGAGATTGAGATTGTGGGCTTATTGATTCTGTAAATGGGAAGGGAGTTGATACATACTGTTAGCCAACGTCCCATGTTATTTCAACTTTGTATCCCTCAAAAAGAAGAATAGAGGAAGGAAAATCCTTTTACTGGAGACAAAAGAAGGTCAAAACTTCAAACAGTTCAAATAATAAGCTTTATTAACTTTCACAACAAAATGGAAATTAATTTTAAATGGCCTGAAAATAGTGTTAAAATGATAGGATGACTAGACAGGAGATATCTATAACTTATTTGTAAAATGTTTCTTAAAAAATATGAGCTAATTTCAGATCTCTCTTTTATTTAATTGCCTTAAGATTGTGTCTGCTCAAAGCCTGGAATTCAAGAGAAGTTTGAAGCATTAATTTCAAGAGTAATTGTTAGATGCTGGGGAATGGAGCCCAGCACTGCGTTACTTTGATTAACACTCCTGCAGTTAAAGAATTGCATCTTGTTTGTTCATTTGCATGTCACAGGGAACTTCAACATCCCTTAGTCTTCGTGGTTGGAAGAAAGAAGTTCAGATGTATTGCACTTCAGTTCATTTTTTTAGGCCATTCATGGCAGTAGGTAAAAGTTTATTTTTCTCTTGAGGGATTACAAGTTCTCTTGTGGATTTTGTTTTATTTTAAAAGAATTTATATGTTAAACCACGGTTCTTTTGGTATGATTAAAACAACTAACCTGGCTGAGGAAATTATGGTGCTGTTTAATTGTAAATAGACTATTCTAAGGTTGGATCAAGACTTGATGTATATAACCTGAGCACGTAGGGTTTTTGTACTTTTAAAAATGTCCTCCCATTTGTCTTGTCAGGTAGCTAAGAGCTCTTACTAAGTTTTTTTGTAATTATGGTTTTTTAAAAAAAATTATTTAAGGGTGATCTGCCTCTTTCCAATAAGAAGTGTGAAGTTTTTCTTTTTTAAAGTCTTAGTTCAGTAACTAATAAGTTCTTTATCAGAATGAGGTTCTTCAGACCAGTTCAGACATGGTCATTTGTAGTTTTGTATCATCTCCTGTGTTTAAGTCTGTAACTCGTCTGTCTTGGTCTCATTTTTCAAATACATCATTTTTGTTTTGAACCTTATACTTTACATGAAATTGATTTTTGAAATTTTATCTTGCTGATAGGCAGCAAGGCACAGTGGTTAAAGATTTGGCCAACAAGTCAACAAGACCTGGGTTTGAGTCTCTTGATACATGCAGCCAACCCTGCCTTGGGAAACTCTATGAGACTGGCAAAGCCAGTCTGCATTGATAGAGAGAGTTTCTTCATTAGAAGTTCTTGAACCAATGAAATCACAGTTTTAGTCCAAAAATAATCCCTTGAATTTTTCTTGTGTTGGACCAGAGAATGAATTGAAATTTAAAATCCTGTCTCTCCCTGCCAAAGACCTTGCTAGGAATTTTGCAAAATTCATAAATATTGCAAAATTTCAAGTAAAACCTTCAGAAATGGTCCATTTTTGGTAATAGCAAAATTAGTAGCTGTTCAGCCTTTCCCACCAGCTGTAGGTACTATTTGTGTAATATTTTCACTGACAGATATAAGACAACCTGTCTCCCTTACAGTAGCTGTTCTCTAGTTTTACATCGCTTTTGCATTTTCCCATGTAGATTAGAACTGTGTAGATCACTTGACAACAGTAGCTGAGGGCAGGATAATATAATAGAATTGGAGTCAAGAAGAACTGGACTTGAAATCTGGTTCTGCCTTGTATTACTTGTTTGGCCTGGGGCAAATCATCAACTTTCTGGGCCTTCATTTTCTCATCTCTAAGTTGATGAAACAATTTAGGTGATCTTTCAAGTCCATAGTTTCTAAACTTGTGATCCTGTGATATAAGGAATCTTAAGCGAGTGGGTACCTCTTTCTAGTTTACAGGGTTTTGCTGAAATGAGGATTACAATGTAAATAAGGTATTTTAGGACCTTAAACATGTCTGCCTGTATTCCTTAAATACCTCCTTGAATTAGTAATACCCAATTTCTGTTGTAGCTTCTGAATCCCTTGAGCCTCTGGTTCTCTGAGCTTTGCAGAGATTGCATGAGTAGTAGTTTTGCTTCTGTTCCTAGGCTAGAGGCTCATTTCAACTCAGTATGAAAAAAATAACAGAACTATCTAAAAGTGGAATGGGTTGCCTTGGGAAGTAGTGAGATACTGGATGACTTTGTATTGGAAATATATGTAGGGTAGGATTTCTGCTCAGGTACAAGTTGGATTAGATATGGGTTGCAACCACAGTTTAAGAAGCAAGGAAGGGGTTGCAAGTGGAAAAAGTTTAAGAAGCTCTAGACTAGATGATGTCTGAGGTTCCTTCTGGCTTTTGAAAGTCTCTTAAGTTTTAGGTATGTAACAAAAATTTTAACATACATAGCTAAGTGTCCCTAGTTTCCAGGTGGTGATGGTTCATCAACATATATTAATATTTCAAAGACCTGTTTCACTGGTGTGGGGATTCTCTTGAAATCAACCGATTACAACTTGTCTATAGTTTAAGGAGTTGTCTGAGGTTGGAAGATTAAACAACTCACCAATATTCATACACTGAGGTGTCAGAGATGGGCTGTAAACCCCACCTACCCTTTATCTACTGTATCTACTTTATCCTACCCTTTATCCACTGTACCACCAGGTGCTTACGTCTCTAAAAGCGTGTGAACACTAAGAGGACAGTGAAGCAGAGGTTGTTTTTTACTCGGGTATGTATCCTTCCCAAACCCTTTCCCTTGTAACAAGCAACAAAAGCTGAGTTTGAATAAAATTTTCAGTAATTAATTGAAGAATACAGGAGATTGAGTGGGAAGTTGCCCCTTCCTTTTTGCTGAGCCCCTAGGCGGGTAACTGTCCTCTACAGCCCTATCTTCTATTCATCCACTCTAGGAAATGACAAATCCCTGCTTTCTTGGGCTTAGACATTTTAGGTACATACAAGTTTTTCAAACTGTGTTGTCTTTGTGCACAGGAACAATCAATTTTGGCCGTAATTATGACCACGTATTCTTGATGGCTGTAGTAATAGTTAACATTTAATATAATGCTTTAAGCTTGGAAGATCACTTTACATACATTATCTCCTTTGATCCTCACAAGCACCCTGTGAGGTAGGTGCTGTTATTAGCTTTATTTTACATATGAATAAACTGAGGCTAAGAGACTAAGTGATTTGCTCAAGGTCACATGGTTATAAGTGTCTGGGGCAGGATTGAAATTCTGTCACTCTTGACTCTAAAGTCCAGTGTTCTGTAGACCCACTGTGCCTCCTACCTATGAAATCTAACCTTTGAGTGGCTCTGTGAAGCTAGCTTGGTGGTGGCCTATGTGTCTGTCGTCTGAGGATGTGAGGTTGGCTAAATTCAGAGAGGGTCATTGCCAGATTGACCACAGAGCAGTACATTTTTGGGTATAGTAACTTTCAAAGGTCATCTACTAAGTCTGGGGGAGTATGGGATAGAGGTGGTAATTTATAGAGCAAATACTCATACTAATAATATTGAAGAGCCTGCAAATAATGAAATATGTAGTTCCTAGTTATAGTACAGAAAATCACCATCTTACAGAAATACTTTAAGTTCCTTTTTGTGTATATTGCTGGGCTAGGCACTAAACTGACCTTAAATATAATCTGAAGGATTAGCCAACTGTCCTTCTGAAGTGTGGAGAGTAGAACTGAAGAATATCCTTAAAAATCTTTCAAATTCTTAAGGTTTTTATAATATAGCTAAGAAAAAAACTTCAAGAAGAGCTAAGTGGTGAATTAAGTTGGATGGTTTTTCACTAAAGGAATTTCAGACCCAGTCCACACTGCTGGTATAGGCTAATTTGGCTTTTTAAAGAAGAGTTTCAGTTTTGCATCTGTTGTGAACCTAGTGCATAGAGAAGTGTGCTTAACCACTTGGCTAAGGAGTTGGCAGACTTAAAAGAGCAGCCTCTTATAGATAGCAGTATATTCTCAAAGTCTTTCCTAGTCAACACTATTTCCAAGCAGGGAGGAAATTGCCTGCTAATTCTAGAAAAGAATGGAAATTTTTGTAGGTTTTCATTTTTTGCCAAAATAAAAACCAGGAATCATTTGCTCATCTTTCCTCCTTGTGACATTCTGAAAAGATGCTCTGTCTGAAGTGTGGTAAGTACCAGCCACTTTGTAATAGGTACTGTAATTCAACCTCATCAAGTCACTTCACCTTTATGAGCCTAGAGGACACTGATTATGAGCCCCACCCAAGCCGCTGGAGAGAAAAGTATCCTTGAGATTTTTTTATGCTAGCCTCATCTTCCACAACTATGCTTGGGTGGTAGGGAAGATCTGCAGATGTGGCAGCCATAGAATGAAGATCGAAATAACCTGGTGAAGGTGGGCTTATCTTATGACTTTTGTGAAAGATCTCTTGAGAACTATGGCAGGCCAGTTCTCTTACTTTGATAGCTACCCTTCTCCAGTGATGATACTCTGTCCACTTACGCATTGTAAGTAACATTTGGTTATAGCACTACTACTAGACATGTGACAGTCATTTCTTTCCCATATTGGGGCATTAGCAGCAGTGCTGAATTTGGTGTCAGAGGACCTGAGTTTAAATCATTTCAGTTCCCTGCGACTCATTTTTCTCATCTGTAATGTAAAGAGGTAAGGCAAGATGACCTCTATGGTCCAGCTCTAAATATGTGATCCTATGAGCTGAATAAGACATTCAACAGCCTAGAAGAACCCAGCTCTTGGTTTTGGGGGTTTGGGTGGTTTTTTTTGTTTGTTTTTTTTTTTGGTGAGCTAATTTATAGTGCTGCCTTGGGGTGGTTTGCAGGGTGAGAGGAATGGAAAGTTTGGGTTGCTAAGAAGATATTAGTCTCCTAAGTAAGTAGGATATGTGTCCTTTAAGGGCAGTGTTACAGAGATTATTTCATATTGTTATTGAACATAATGTCTAGGATTATAAATTCCTGCCTAGAATGGCCATTGATCTGTGGTAGCAGTATCATATGTTGTATTTTCTGTTAAAAGATAACCAAATTTAATTTTTGATGTGTGAGGTTAGATTATGGAAAGGATAGTAAGGAAATAGCAAGCTAGGATATGTCTGAAAGAATTTCAAAGGCCCCACTCACCTCTTCTGCCCCCAAACACAAATTGTGCTATGGGAGATGGTAGTAATGAAAGAGCAGTATAAAAGGACAGTAATTAATCACTCTCATTCCATATGGAAGGGAAATGGTCTATGATTTTTCTATAATTTCTTGACTGTTGAAAGCATTACTTTTATTCACCTTCTCCTGGTTAAAGCATTGTGGTCTTCATCTAATTAACCTGCCCTCCCTTCAGCCCATACACTTTATGTTCTCTGAAGCGTTCTGTAGACCCTTGTCCAAGTAGTAATTGTTTTAACCAAAAGGATTGGTGAATTCTATACTCTGGTAAGTGATTCTACCCCAAAAGTCCTTTCCGTACCACTAAAGGGTTAGAAAACCTTTCAGGCAAATCAACCTTCTGGCTGCCTTAGTTTCTCTTTAATGCACTTGTGAAGCTGTCATGTTGAATTGGGGAAAGCTCTAGCTTTAGAGTCAGTAACTCTGGGTTATTGCCACTTGGCTTCTGTCACCCTGGATTAGTCACCTGATCTTTCTGGACTTCATTTCTTGTCCTTCTGTGGAATGTGAAGTGGCTAAACAAGATGATCACCAAGGTCTCTTCCAGCCCAATCCTACTTCATCTGGGGTTACATAAAGCATTCTCTGGGTCTGAATGGATCTTTGTTTCTACCTAGGGGAGAGTAAAGGATATTTAAAAGGAATACAAAGCACCTAACCACCTGGTGCTCTTCATACACATAAGGCACTCATTTGGATCTGGCTGCTGATGAGACTGTCAGTTTGGTCTTGTAATCCCACTGTGGCTCTTCTCAGAGTGACCTCATGCCCTGCCTCCTGATAGGTTACTTGCCATAACAGCTGAAGGCAGCCATCCTTAGCATCTTTGGAAAAACCCCAATTACTTACCAAGAAGATTATTTACTTGAAGTTGCATTATCCCTGGCAGCTGTTACAGGTTCCTTCTCATATTCTTTTTGTGTACTGCACCCCACTGGTAGCCTGAGCTGTCCTGTAACGTTGGATTTGCCTGTCCAGTCATCAGGTGGAAGTAGGGGGAAGAACTGCAGGGAAGACCTCGTGGTGGAGTGTCTTATTAGTGCTGGTGCTGAGGCTCATCTCTTCCCCTGCGTGGCACAATGGCAGGTGTTAGAAGATCTGGATGGAAAAGCAGACAAAAGACCAACAAAAGCCTAACCACCCCAGAGCAGAAAGGGGCCTGAGAAGCCGTTTAATTCAACGCACCTTTGAACAGCTGCACTTTACAGCCCTCCCCCCCCAGCGAGGGAGAGCTTCCAGTTAACCTCTAGGAAGAGGGTGACTTCTGAAACAGATGGCACTGGTTGTTAGCAAGTTTTTCCTTACATTGATCTTGAGTCTACCTTTCTGCAGCTTGGACCTGTTGATTTGCCAGAAGCAATCATCTTTTTTCCATAAAATAGCCCTTCAGACACTTGAAAACTGTTGTCGTGTGGTCCCCAGGAGACTTCTCTTCTTCGGGCCAAATATTCCTAGTTCCTTTAGTCGTCATAAGACGCAATCTCCAGTCCTCTCAATATGCTAGTCTCACCTTCCTCTGCATGTACTTACTCCTGGTCAGACCTTAACTAGTGGGGAGGAACCAGGATTTTGCTACTGGGCATCAAAGTGCAGAAGACGCAAATCATATAACAGTAATAGAAGATTGTACAATTTTAAAATTTGTTACATTTATAATATTTTGTAACATTCTGACTGCTTTTTTTTGAGTAGCATAGAAGCTTTTTGAATATAATGAATTAACCTAAGGAACTTACCAAATGGTGAGATTCCTTCTCCGTACCAGGCGAGATCTTAGTCTTGCTCCTTCCTGAATTGGTGTTTTATTTTTTTACCTGCAGTAGCCTTCTAGTGTTTTGAGGTGTCTTCTCCTGTCTGAAGTCTCTATTGTAGTCTCCTCACCTATCACTGATTTGACGATTTGTTCAGTGTGGCTTGACATAGGTGCCAGAATTGCTGCTTATGCTGTGTTCCACCTTGTGAATATCCTTCCTAAAGTGTATCCAGCAGTGAATATAGTCCTCCAACTATGGTCTGACCCAGGAAGAATGCAGCAGTATTCTAGTTCTGACGCGTTCACCTGGCCGAGTCATCTTGTGTACATCATTTAATTCAACAAACATTTAGTAAACTAAACTTCTCTAGGCCCAGTTACTATCTCTGTAGAATGAGAGGGTTAAACTAGTTTAGTAATCTCTAATTAGTTAAACTAGTTTAGTAATCTCTGAGGCGCCTGTTCTAGCTCTACTAGTCTTGTTCCTAAGGTTAAAAGCTTTTTGAAGACTCCTGCATTGCTAGGTTCAGTATATCTTCGGAGAAACAGTCTTACTGGTAAGTACCTGGTAAGGGTTTTCTCTTTCACCACCTTCTCAGATACAGTTTCTCAAACTTAGTTCAAACTAAAAAGATTATGCTTTTTGGTGAGAGATGCATTTTTGTAGTTTGCTCCAGTGAGAAATATTTGGATGTGTATATGTGTGTTTGCACATACATACATACATACATACACACACACACACACATATATGTTATTGTTTAGTCATGTCTGACTTTGTGACTCCATTTGGGTATTTTAACTTTATTAATTGGTCTATTTACTTAACCAAATGCTATAACTACATGATTGGCAACTAATTTTAGGTGACAGGATGATCTGTTTCCAGGTTTTATTTAATGAAGTTAGGGGGAAGGTATTAGTGAAAGATCAGCTCTGTATTTCATGAAAAGGATGTTCAGGATTGAGATTTACATGTTTGTTTAACACACAGAGGTATCTACATATAAAATAGGGCAAAGTGCACAAGTCACCTTGTGGTTTTTAGTCAGGCATTATGGTAGTCTAGGTGATCGGTCATTAGAGCAGTGTTTTAACAGAATAGAATGAAGAGGATCTGGGAATGAATTTCCCTAAACCCTGACTTCTTCCCCAAATTCGTCTTGAAGGTGGTAAATGTTGGTACAGAAGCAATTTCTATGTCAATGAAATGTCAGTTCATATATTAGTGAAAAAGTGCTACACTGATGAGTAGAGACCATGATAAAAAGGTGCCAGAGAAGTGCTATATTAAAATAGGTGTCTGGAGAAGGAAAATTAATTCTTCCTCATTCCATAATGAAAATCCTTTAAATCGCCTAAAACCTTCTTTTAAAAGAGCTTGAAACTTTTTTAATAAAAGAACATCACTAGCCAGTGATTAAAGCTTCGTGGCTAGAAACTTCCCTGTGTGATATTCCTCCGGGTGAGCAAATGTAAAACAGAATGAAATTCACATGATATCATCTTTCTGCGCTGTTACAATACAAAAACAATATGGCTTTTTGTCTTTTAGATGGAAGCAGGAAAAATAGGTTAAAAAAAAAGATGATTAACCGTGAACCTTAGGTCCATGTCCTGGAATAGGTAGCTTAGCTGTGTCCATATAGCCATTTAAGAAAACAGCTGAGTACAAATGAGTGAATAGCGCAAGAGAAGTAAAGGATTTCTTCTGTGTACACCTGACTTGTTTCTCAAGGAGTGAAGTAGACACCAAGGAGACTATAATCCTCAAATCTTTGAAATAGAGGTGGAAGTAGTCCCTTGATTAGTAGTAAACCAGGAACATTTTGCCCAGGGCAGTCTTCAGTCCCAGATGAGGATGGGGTTTGATTAGGTTACTCAGCATTAGGAAACTGGGGCGTGTCCAGTGAGAACAAGTGATGATATTTTAATCAGTATTGTACTATCTTGAGTAACTCCTGAGAGTTATGTTGCTCTAGTCATAATCCAAAATTTTATGAACATACCTATTGAGTACTTACATGCAAATCTGACACTCCCCCTCCCTGTAATCTCTCATGAAAGAAATAGATTCTAAATTTTCTACTTTGTAGATTAAAATTTATTTTAATAATAAAAGTGTTCATTTCTGACTTCTGTGTTGCTCTCTCCAGCTTTCAAAGAGACTTTGCTGTTTCAGGAGCAGATTTTTGCTTCTCTCTAATTTCTGCCTCTCCTGATGTTTGTCAAGGCAGAAGATAGTGAACAACTTGAACTCTTTGTAATTAAGACGCTAGTGTTTGAGAAAAACAAAAGACAGTAATTTAGGAAGATTAAATATTACACTTTAAGAAGCAGGGGATGGTAGTTATTTCTCATAAAAATCCTGCGACTCTTCAAACAGAACCTAATGTGGGAACCGGGAAACCTCCATATGTAACATGAGGACCAGAGAAAGAATCCTAGTTCTATTCTCTGCCTCTGTCTGTGGGCTCTAGATTCTAATGGGTGCTTCAGCATTTCACTGCTCCTACATGTGCTTCACAAAGCCCTAGCCAGCAGTTTATTTTCACTGGCCGCTGCAACAGAGACTTCTTTTGTGTTGCTTAGACTCTGTGTAGGGAGCTTGTCAACTAGGTGGCAGTGTAGATGGAGTACTGGGACTGGAATCAGAAAACCTGAATTCCAGTGTGACCTCATACTTCCCAACTGTGTGACCCTGGGCAAGTCATTTAACTTCTGTTTGCCTCAGTTTCCCCATCTGTAAAATGGGGATAACAATAGCACCTGCCTTCCCAGGTGGTTGTGAGGATCAAATGAGATATTTGTAAAGCACTTAGCACGGTAGAGACTTGCTGCTTATTCCTTCTTTTCTTTTTGGGGGTGGAGAGGGTGGGATAGGAAGAGGGCTTCTTTATCATATCCACACTTGGAAGTATCAAGTCTCAATTTCTGTCTGGCACTTAATACCCTCTACAATATGGTCCCTGCCTGTACAGTGTTATCTTCTAATACTTATATTGGGGCGATCAAATTGTCTCCTAAATGTGATCCTACCTCTATATCTTTGTTTAGTCTTTTCTCATTTCAGAATGCCTTTTCTACCTGTCCAAGGCTCAGCTTAATTTCCTGTTTTCTTTGTGAAGCTTTCCCTAACTTTGGCATGCTCCAGAATATTCCAGTGCCTTACCTTTTTTGGATTATGTTATGCATATTGTTAAAGAACAGAAGCTAAACTGTATGGTACTAATTCTTGGATTCACAATTGTAGAGCTGGAAGGGACCTTAAAGGTCATCTACTCCAACTCTCTCATTTTATAAATGAAGAAAGTGAAGCCCTGAATGATTAAATGACTTGCCCAAGGTTTTGTGTGTTAGTCTCTCCTTAATTATGTCATGAATTCCTCTGTGGAATGGACAGTTTCATTCCTTTTCTGCATCTTCCATAGTGCTAAGTACTTCTTTTTGGATATCTTTTCCACCCTTGAATATACCAAACTGGAACTTGGATTGTAGAAGCTATATGGGGCATTCCTTTAGGAGGAGAGGATATTGTGTCCCACCTTTGAAATTTGTGAACTCACCTCATCACCTGTGACATCAAAGTTCTTGAAGATCTGTTTCATTTCCTGGTTTCTGAAATTGAAGAGGAATCGGAAGGCTTCAAACTGCCTTAACCTAACCCTTAGTGCTCCATCTCTGTCAAGCAGCTCAAACACAGGCCGGGAATGTCGATAGATAAACCGTTCTTCCAAGTGATTCTGTTTAGAGAAAGGTGGATATAAATCTCAGGTAGGTGCATCAGGTTAGTGAGCGCCTTCTAGACGTTCATTCAGGAAGGAGCTTGATATTTCCGTTGATCTGTCGTTCCCAAGGTGGCAGGGAGGATTTGAAGGGGATAAAGTTTCTTGAGCCTTTCTTGATTGTACGAGGGGTCCAGATCTATTCAGAAACATTTAAATTAATCGTCTAGGGGCCAAGACGATTCCCTTTAGTCTTTTGAAAGCATGAGCAACGGAAGGTGAATTTGTTGGAGCCTAGATTCAGCAATGCCTTAGCAAAACAGTAGTAGATATGGTAAATTGTGGTGGCTGCTTTGGTGTCTGTAATCAAAGTGATTTTTACTTACCTCATGTGACAATAGGACACAAACAAGCATGTAGAACTCGTCAAAGCCGATCTCTCCTGTGGCATCCCAGTCCAGCATGTCAAATACTATCATGATTTGGTTCCTGTTCAAGTCAGTCACGTGATGAAGAAAGTGATAGAAGACCACATCTGAAGGAGAAGTTACCATCTCTCTAATGCTTACCCACATGCTCTACTGGGATCCATAAAAACAATACTAAGACACTGAATGTTCCAAGAAGGCCATTAATGTGGCAGTGATCCTTCTCTGGATTTCTAGTGCACTTAAGATTCCTTCCAAATTGGGAGAGCATGGTTCATGGGGCTTAGAAATTTAGTTCATTCTCCTTATTTTACAGATGAGGAAAATGAGATGCAGAGAGATTAACTTGCTTAAGATCACATAAGTAATAAGTAGGGTGAGGGTTTATGGGAGAACATGGGCGAAAGTCACACAGGATGCATAAATGAGTTACAATATGCTACAATGGGAATACACACATTGATGAGAGATCTATCCTTCGTTAGAAAGTATCGAAACACTGAAGTATTTATTGAATGCTGTTAGTATGCCATGGGTTGAAAAATGTGAAAGCTTCTTACACAAAGCAGTGTGCGTGATGCAGGGATGTGTGCTTACATTTTGGTGGAATGGGTTGGGATAGAATGGCCAGCAGCTTCCAGATTATGTCAAATATATTGCTAGGTCAGTTCCCATTATAAGCGACCCCATTCCCCAGTTTTGTGTGTGTGTGTGTGTGTGTGTGTATGTGTGTGTATCTATCTGTCTATCTTAGATGGATGTTTGTGATGTTATAGTTACTTATCTATATACATATACATGGCAACCCATCTATAATGCATCTCCAATAGTCATCTCCTGCCTTTCTATGTCATATTATTTATAGCTGGAAGAAACCTTAGTCCCTTCATTTTATTTTACAAATGAGGAAGCTGAAGCTCAGAAAACTGAAGTGACTTGCTCAGAGTCATGGCTTGTTGAAATCTTTTGATTGCTCTGAAGTCTTGATTATAGTTTGGAAGGATTCATGGTAGTCTGTCATTGGAAATATACTTATCAACTCAAGGGTGCTGACAGCTCAAGTTGGGACAAAGGGAATGTGGTGTCAGGGAAGTGGCAACATAGTGGGAGAATTACCGTATTTGAACTTGGGACCTGGGGATTCAAATCTTACTTCTTACCTGCTGGAGGCTTTCCTCTAGATTTCTTGACATTGTGAGGGTACCAGTGGAGCACACAGGCTGTCTGCCCATTGATTAGTCCTTTTTCAATCATACATTTGTTGGTCTTATGCTACATCCTATTTTACACCTTTCTTCCCCTTCCTGTGTCTTTGCATTGCCTGCTGCATACTCTGCAACTTTAATTCTTAGAGACTGTTATATTTCATGCTTGGAGTCATAAAGCATTGCTGAAAGAATATTAATCTTTAAAAAGATAGGCCTTTGTTTTGGGGAGTAGCTTGAGGTAGCACTGCACAGTTTTTCAAATGCAGTCCACCCTGCTTATTGCTTTCCATTCAGCTTTAGGTCTAATTCATTGACTGGTTGTCCTTCCCCTTTCTCCCTCTCTCTGTCTTCTTTCTTTCTTTCCTTCCTTCTTTCCTCCCTGTGTTTTTTTTATAGTCCTTGTCTTTCTCCTTCCTCTTCCCCTTCCCTTTCCTCTTTCCCATTCTTCTTCCTTCCTATCCCTCTTTCTACTTCCCCTTCCTTCCCTTATTTCCCTCTCTCTTTCCTCTCCTTCCTTCCCCTTCTCTTTTTCTCCTTCTTTCTCCCTCTCCTGTTTCCTCTGTAGACTAGGTCTCTGTCTCATCCATGCAAGAAGTGCAGCAGCCACTCATGGACCCAATCCCATTGCAGATCTGCACAGGAGCTTTGACCTGCTCTTTCCAACCCAGACTAGTTCACTCCTTAGGCAGCCTAATGTCACTCTCACTCTTGGAGCTCACTATATTGGTGCTAAACTTAATGTGAACACATAATGTACTTTAGCCCTATTGTAGCTCAGAACTCCTAAGTTCAAGTGATCCAGTAGCTTCAGCCTCCCCCAGGAGCAAGGATTATAGACATACACAACCACTCCTGACTGCAGTGTTTTTCTAAGTCGTATTATTGATAGTTGAGTTATATGGACAGTTGAACAATTGTATTATTATTATCTGGCCAGGTATTCTTCATCCACTTGGTTTTCCATGTCTGGATGGTTAGGTCAAACTTTTGAGTGATTATGGTTCTCATCATATAGATAGTGTTCAGGGACTTGAGGAAGTCAGAAAAATATCATCTGCCAAAAGTATCTGGAGGATCTCACTATCTGCGGGGATCTCTCTTCCATTTGGACTCTACTAGATTATGAGCTCCATAAAGGCAGGTAACTTAATTTTAACATCTCTCCTTAGGCCTCCCACAGTTCTCTAAACCAAGTCAGTATGTTTAAATGACTCGGTGAAGTTGAGGGTACTTACCATTCAGAGCCTGCTTTTTGTGCACATCAAGAACTTGGAAATATTCTGACAGTGCCTTGACATTTCTCACTGATAGTAAACAGTATATTTTATCCAAATAGAGGTACCATAGAAATGATCCATGTTTCAATTTCATCTTGTCACTATTTGATTATGTTTGCAACTGGTCACTTAGGCAACATAGAATTGAGAACTCTGCCTTTGAACTGGAATGATGACTTGATACTCAGAGTTCTTATCATTACTAAGAAATTGCCTTGGTTAAAATGTCAGAGGAAGTGGTTAGTTCCTCAAACTATATACCAATCCCTGATATATATACACACATGTAAAAATATACATGGGAAATATACAAGTATATGGTTACACACATCTCACTGTCACTTAAGATTTAGCAAAATTCTTCAGGATGCAATATAAAAAGAGATGTAATCCTGCTTGAGTGGGGAGGGGAGATAGCTCCAAAATTAATCCACAAGTATAATTGAGCACCTGTTAATGTGCAATGTAACAAAGGCATAGATTAGAATGGGATCAATACATAGCTTTCTATATAATGTGTCAAAAGGAGTGGAATAGATATACAGGATACAGGATACAGTGGAGGGACAGATTTCTTAGGGTTGTGTAGTCAGTTAAGGAAACTTAAGGTAAGAAATCAAAAAGAATAGGGGCTAGTAAGCAAACTAGTTGGGCTGGGTTGTATGTAGGAGATCAATTCAAAGTAAGATGGAAAAACTGTGGAGGGTCTTAAATCCTAGGAGAAAGAGTTTGTATTTAACTTGTGTATTTAACCAATGACTGTTTTCTACAAAGAGAAGTAGGCAAAACAACAACAAAAAAAACCCTAGGTGTTTTGGGATGATACCGAGCAAGCAAAACCAAATCAAATTAATGTTTTAGAAAGATGGCCCAGCAGGATGGGGATGGGATGAGAGAGGGAGGGTGAATTGGTCTACTTACTAAATGTAAATTAGTGTGAACCCTGCATAGGGTAGAGATAGGTGATTTTTTTTTTAACAATCAAGCATAAGCATTTTTAAAAAATTTTCAACATTCACTTTTTTATTGTAATGGTGTTTTGTTTTTCCAATTATATGTAAAATTATATGTATAATATTCCAATTATATGTAAAAAAATTTGAACATTCGCTTTTATAAGATTTTGAGTTATAAACTTTTTTCTCCCTCCATCTCTTTCCTTCCCCCTCCCCAGGATGGCAAGCAATCTGATATAGGTTATATATGTACAGTCATATTAAACATATTTCTACATTAGTCATGTTATGAAAGAACAATCAGAACAAAAGGGAAAAACCAAGAGAAAGAAAAAACAACAAAAGGTGAAAATAGTATGCTTCGATCTGCATTCAGACTCCATAGTTCTTTCTCTGGATATGGATAACATTTTTCATCATGAATGTCATTTGGAATTATCTTATATCATAGTATTGCTGAGAAGAGCTAAGTCTGTCATAGTTGATCATTGCACAATGTTGCTGTTACTGTTACTGTGTACAATGTTTTGGTACTGCTCACTTCAGACAGCATCAGTCCCTGTAAGTCAGATTCATATAATACAACTTGTTCAGCCATTCCGCAGTTGATGGGCATCTCCTCAATTTCCAATTCTTTCCCATCACATAAAGAGCTGCTATAAATATTTATGATATTTGTAAATATTTTTGTACATATGGATCCTTTGGTGATAGTTGATTCTTACTCCTGGGCTTCCACTATCCAAAGATGATGGTACCTATTTAAAATCTCGCATAAGGATTCAACAAACCTTTCAAAATCCTACGTATATGAAAAATATTGGCCAGCATGAGAAAGGACTCTCTTGGTTTATCTTAGATAAGCTTTGGATTGGGTTTCTAGAGGCCGTAAGAAAGGTCAGCCTTGGAATTGGGGATGAGGAGGGGGGTAGTACAGGAACACTGAGGAATTTGTTGCTGCTTGCAGTTGCTGTTATGACAACAGGGAAGGGCAGTTACCCACCAAATTCCTCGCCATTTGTGCAACGTTTTTAGGTGACCTGTGGCTTGGAGGATAGTAGCAATTTGAGATGCTAAAGTATACACTTGGCCTTGTAAGACTGACTTCAGTTACCTTCCTTCAAGTTAACTTTGGAGTGGAGTTGGATGTGGGTAATTGGTGGAAGGGGCCTTAAGTGAATCATCCACTATCATGGAGTGGTGCTCTCAGCTTCAGAAGACAGGAGAAAGAAAGTGGGTGGGGGAGAGAGAAAATAAAAGAATGAGAATGAGAATGAATTATTTATCTCAGGGTGGATAAATGGTAGCTGTAAAGATGAAAGGAATAGGATAAAGTGACTGAGAACTGTCTCTGAGCTACTATTGTAGTCAGGAGGTTGCTTGTATAGGTAGAGAACTGGCCTCAGAATCAGAAAGGACTGTTCAAATCTTACTGCTGACAGGTGGCCTGTGAGACTCCTAGACAGAAGTTGCTTAGGCTTAGTGCCTCGGGCGACTGTAAACTGCAGAAGTTATTTTGCATGTTATGAGTTCCCTGCACGAGAGTTCCCTACACTGATGAAATTACCAGTCGGAACAGAACGGGACAGTCTTGCTTTTGTATGCTTTTGTATTTCTACACCGCTTGGCCGTTAGTAAACAATTAAGTGATTTTAATTAAAAACAAAACAAAACAAAACAAAAAAAATTGCACTAGAAGTTCAATTAACTGCTTCAGTTTCCTTATTTGTAAAATGAAGGGGGTTGGGCTAGTGATCTCTAGCCAGGCGGATGTTGGGTGGGAGGGGAGGTAGGGTGCTTTTTACGTCTGCTCAACCATTTTCATCATCTCCCTCTAAGGTCCCAGTTCTAAGCTTCCCCTAACATCAATCCTCCCTTCTTCCACCCATGCCCTCGGGAATTTCATTCCACCACTCTATTACAATAGTTCATTTTATTCCATTTGAAAATACAAAGGGTTGGCGGGATTTGGTCCAAATGACCTCCAAGCCCATGTTCTGTCCTGTTGCAAGGGCTCACTTTTCAAAGTAACAAAACAGAAAGACAACATAGTTTCCAGCTGTTCCTAGCTGTGTGCTATCAGGGCAAGTTTCTTAATTTCTTGGGGCCTTAGTTTCCTCATCTGTGAAATGAATGAGGGAGTTGGACTTCCCGGCGACCAAGGTCCTTTCCAGCTCTAAATTTATGCTCCTGTGACCCCAAGTTCTGCCAAATCTCGAACCAGCCCCTTTAAAAGAGGGAGTCAGCTTCCTACAGTGTCCAGAGGGCCCCGCGGCGCAGGGGCGGGGCCGATCGGTTCCAGCAGCCAATGGGAAGCTGGCGTGGTGCAGCTGGTCTCCCTGCAGGTGGAGTCGCGGGCTCCGGGACTGAGGTTCAGAATCTTCGAACTACCCCTCTCTGGAGCTTGGGTTCTGGAGGTGTGCCGGAGTTGATGCCGGTGTGTTGCTCGAGGAAGGGGCGCGAGCCGCAGTTGCGCCTTGGGATTTGAAGACCACATTGCCGCGGCTTGGAGATCACTTGTAGGAGATAAGGCTGCTTCCACTGCCTGTTTTTCCGGGTGCCCGGAGTCCTAACCCCAGCCCTAGTCCTCTCCAGCGGCGCACTTGACTGCGGGGTTCGCGAACCCTGGAGGGGTGGAGGAGGAGCTCGATCCCGGGAGACGCGAGGTGCAAAGCGAGCTGGGCTGCGGGTTCCTTCTCTTACCGCCGCCCTCTACCCCTACTCAATCTGCGCTCACCGCCGGGGTGCAGAGGCTGGCACCGCCCTGCGGAGCTGGGGGCCGGAGCCACCTCGCTTAGCCCCTAGCGGCGTCTATAGAGGCGCCCTCGGCATCGCGCGCCCCCCAGCCAGCTTGTTCTCCACGAACCATGGCTTTTGCCAACTTCCGCCGTATCCTAAGGCTGTCCACCTTCGAGAAGAGAAAGTCCCGGGAATATGAGCACGTTCGTCGGGATCTGGATCCAAACGAAATGTGGGAGATCGTCGGGGAGTTGGGCGATGGAGCCTTCGGTAAAGTTTACAAGGTGGGTGCGGGAGGCTGGCAAAGGGTGCGTTGGGCACGTCGCGAAGAACTCCGGGAGCCGAGTTATGGGGTCCTGGAAATCTCGCAAAGGGACGGAAGGTGCGCACCGCTATGACAGCCTGGGCCAGGGCGCGGGGACGGTCGGAAGGTCCGGGGGCGGTTCCGAAACATAGTTTGCAGAGCGAACTATGCATGGGGAGGCGAGGAGATGCCAAAGTAGTTCAGGGAGATTCCCGGGGACGGGCTTCTGGACCTGACAAGGTCGGCTTTAGCCCCGGATCCTTCCCTGCTTCAGCTACCTTGGAATAAAGTCTAAGAGGGATGGGGGAAGGGGCTTGAAGCGACGCGTTTACTGTAGAAGCAAGTGCTGTCCCATCCATCCCCACTGCCCTACTGTATTTGGGGCCTCAGTAGAGAGGGGGTCGGGGATGACAGAAATCAAGTTCCAAGTGTTAGCTCTAAAATCAAGATGAAAGGAAACAGGGTACAAGAAGTTTGATCCCCTAAAGCTGACCCTGGGGACCAACTGTCTAGGAGCTACTATTGTGACCGAGAAGGTTGTTTGCAGACCTATGATCTAGGTTCTAGGTTGAGCTAGTGAGTTGGTCCCAGATAATGAATTGGCCTTGTCTTAATCATAGTACCTTAGACCTTTCCCACTCTCAGAATATAATAGACTTTTGATCTGGGGACTTTAGAGACTATTTAGTTGATTCAGCTTAATTGAATTCAATGCAAAAATATCTCCCTCATTTTACAGTTGAGAATAATAAGGCTTACCTTAATTTCTTACCCAGTGGCTAACCTAAGATCATATAGTTGAAACTTCAGCTACTTGTAATAGCTTATGGGCTTTTAAAAGAGAATATGGGAGTTCTGAGTGGTCTTGCCCTGGGCTTTCCCCGGGGGATAGCTGCCTCCTCCTGAATCAAAAAAAGGAAATGATTAGGTTTGGGATGCTGATCTGAGTGACAAGTTGGTACTCAGAATCCATTTACAATCTATTGTCTGCATGGTAGGTACACTCTCCTTTCTCACTTCAAAGGAGTTGGAGTTTAGAGGAAAAATGATGAGGCAAAGAAGTAATTAGCTACTTGAAGTCCTCTATGCTTACACCAATGTAGGTGGTTTAGAACGGCCGCTTTCTTCTTGCTCAAGGATTCCCCTGTTCTATATTCATTTCTAGGTAGGTCAATCACATTCCCCTACTATCTACTAGGCCAGGCACCCTTAATGGAGTTGAGGATGCAAAGATAAGAATGGAACAGTCCTTGTCCTCAAGGAGCTTACATTTTCTTGGAGGATTACATTCTATTGGGGACGTGCAGAATTCTGTAGGAAATTAATACTAGTTAATATGTTCTGGAAGGGAAAACACTAAAGATTTGGGATTCAGGAAAGTCTTCCTATAGATGGTGGCACTTGGGCAGAACTTTGAAAGAAACTAGGAATCTAAGAATTCTAAGAAACAGAAAAAGGACATCTTCCTGGGGGTGGGGGTGGAGTGTCAGCCTGTGCGAAGACATGCAGACAAGCTATGGAATGTTGTGGATATGAGGAAGAGCAAGACCGATTTAGTTTGACCATAGTGCATATGAAAGAGAGTAATGTATAATATGGCTGGCAAGGTGGCTTGGATCCAAGTTGTAAAGGGTCTTTAATGTCAAACAGAAGAGTCTGTGCTCTATTCTTGATTCTAGAGGCAAAAGGGAGTCCTGAGAATTTATTGAGTAGAGAAGTCACATGGTCAGACCTTCTTCCTTCTAAGTATCTTGCTCACTTTTTAAACTCTAGCATCACGTGACTCATTTAGCTGGTGGTTGGCAGTGACTGTTGCCTAGTTTTTAAAAATTCTCTTCAGGTGGTTACTTCCTGTAAGTGGAAGACTGACCCTGCATGAGTCTAACATTTAGAGATGACTTTGTCTTGTGCCGGGCTTCCTTAAAGCAGTCCTGCCTTGATCCATGCTTGCATAGTTTATTTCCAGGCAATCCTAAAATCTTAAAGCTAGAAGGGACTTCAGAGGTTATCTGGTCCAACCTTCACATTCAGCATAGGAATCTCTTCTACGCCATTCTCAACAAATGCCTTCCAGCATCTATCTGCACACTTCAAGTGATAGGGAGTTCACTGTCTTAGATGGTAGCCCAGAACATTGCTGGATAGGTGAATTCCTTAGAAAGTTTGTCTTTTAAATTGAGCTGAATACTGCTTTCCTGTAGCTTCTAACTGTTGTCCCTATTTTTACCCTCTGGGACAGTATAAAATGTCAAGACCCTTTAAAAACAAACAAACAAACAAACAAAAACCCCAGCCTTTCAAAGGGATGAGATATTTTTAGGTAGCCCCCCTATGGTGTTCAATATGTAGATATTTGAAAAAAAAATCCATTTCTGTGTTTTCTTGGCATGGACATTAAATTCATGCCAAGGTGTGGCAGGTATATTTCCCAGTCTTTCTTCTCCCTTCCTGAAAATTGTCATAGATTTTGAACCAAAAGGGAATGCAATCCAAATCCATTATGATACAGATAAGGAAATTGAGACCCAGAGAGGTTGTGAGTTGAGTAGGGTCATGTAGGTGATGTAAGTGTACAGCTTTGACTCAAACCCAAGTTCTCTGGTTCCAAATTCAGTGGGTTTTTTTTAAATTTTAAATTTTGTTTTTTTTTCTCCAGTGTATCATGTTGCCTATATGAGCAACTGACTATTATGCCCCTTTTTTAGTTTGGGGGCAATTCAGAACTCCTCCATGGAGCTTTTAGAGGTGTCTTCTAGTGGCTTTCCACTGGCTGCTGCTACTTCCTTAAACATCCTGTAGATCAGAGCCAAACTAACATTTTGAAGTGATCCTTAAGTAGGAATTCTCTACTGAAGTGTGGTGATGGCAGCCCCAGGAGTCAAACTGTGGCTGACCTGTCAGTGAAAATAAGAGTTTAAAAAAATAGAAGTTTTAAAAGCCTCTGCCTTTCCAGGGTTATCTGATGAGAGTTTTTCTTCTTTGTCTAATAAAGAGGAAGCCTTTTCCTTTACCCTTCTCTTCTGCCTAATATTTTTAAAGTATGTTTTTCAACTTCCTTTTATGTCTGACTACTAGAGGCTTCTCACTTTCATATGCTATTTCCCCACCCCCTCCGGAAAAAGGATCTGTACAAAGGCAGTAACCTTATTTCCTTTAAACAAAAAGTATATATATTTTTTTAAACAGAAGGCCACACCATTTAAATAGGTTCCTGATAATTAAAAAATTAAGAATATTTGAGCTTTCTGGAAGATTGTACTTGGTGAATACTTTAGAATTTCAGTAGGGTCTGAAGAACTGACTTTTCTACTTGGAAGACTGAGCTCTTTGCTCTAGGTCCATGTCTGTACCAGGGAAACAGCTATAACCCAAGCCAAGTTGATTTGAAGAGAGTTAAATATCTACCTTTCCCCTCCTGCCCTCTCCCCACCCCCAGAGTAGCCTGAATCTCCAGATTCCCCAGTAACCTCTGGGCTGAGAATAAAACTGGGAAGCTCTTTCAGTTCATAGCCCCCATGGTCCTGGAATGGGAGATACAAGGATTCTCTCTGTGCTGCCTCTGTAAATGTTTGTACTGCATGACCAGGCATTCCTGTGCTGGGGGCTGGCTCTTGGGTGGCTGCATGCCCCCATTGGAGGCTATTTCTTTGACATCACTGTCACATCTCCTTTTATAGAAAAGTGGGATTATAGATACAGAGTTGGAAGGGCCATATAGTACATACCCTCCCACTTTACAGGAAAGGAAATTGAGGCACAGAGAGGCTAAGGAATTTGCCCAAGGTCACAAGGTAATAAGTGGCAGAGCTGGAATTCAAACTAAGGACGTTTGACACAAGACCCAGCACTCTTTACGCTGCCCTGGGATTTCCCCATAATCCCAGAAACAACAGAACTGTTAGTATCAGCTGCTCACCCTCAGTGCACTATGATGTATTCCCTCAGGGCAGCTAATGGCATGTTGGTCCAAAGGACCCTAGTAATCAAGGCTAGGGTGCTGAGTTCCATCAGTATAATTAGGAAATGCCAGGGCTACTTCTGATTGTCCCATGGAGTTCTGAGACATAGGGGAGGAAAGAAGGAAGAAAGAAAAGGGAAGATAGGAAGGACAAAAAGAATGGGAAATAGGAGAAAGAATCATATAGAGGAAGGAGAAAAGAAACCTGTGTATGTGTCAAGGAGTGGTCAAAGAAGGGCTACCAGCTGTTAATCTGGGGGACCCTGCCTGCCTCAGTTCTGTCATGTTCTGTACCTGAAGCACTTCTATTAATCCTAGAGTACTTTTTATACTCATACTCATTCAATAACCACACCCCACCTCCAACCCTCAGCTCTACCCTGGGCCCCACCAGGGAGGAGGTGTAGGGTAGCCACAGTAGCAGAGGAAGTGGTGGTATCTGCTGAAGTAGCAAAGGAAGCAGGCAAGGGAAGCTGGGCGGTGGGGCCCCTGGTTGCTATGAAGCCAAGAGGTACACTTCCATCTAGTCTTCTCCCAGGTCTCATGAATATACTGGTGCTGCTGGCCTAGTGCTGTAGAGCTCGTGGGGAATTGAATGATCACTAGAGTAAATAATCCAGGGGACCAGAGAAATAAGGAAAGGTGTTGTGGTGGGCTAGGGGATGCTTGCAAAGATTGAGGCCTTCTTTCTTTTCAATTTAAAAAAAATTTTAAACTAACAAATATCAAATAAAATGAGCATCATATGCTTATACGTTGTCTTATGTAGAGTTTACATTTATTTAAAAATTATAACAAATTCAACATGTAACTTTCAGTGCTGTCCTGCTTGTCTGTGATTCTTTCTGAACTGCCTTCTGTTCTTTTTTATGCATTTAAAATTTTTTTTTTTAATTTTTAGGCAGTTGGGTTAAGTGACTTGTCCAGGGTCACACAGCTAGTAAGTGTAAAGTGTTTGGTCTGAGGCCGGACTTGAACTCAGGTCCTCCTGACTTCAGGGCCGGTGCTCTATCTACTGCATT